ACAGTTTGGCCCTTTTCAGTCACTCTGATCCTTACGTTTGCACATTTTTCCTGCTTCCAGCACATCCAGTTCAAGAGCTGACTGTTCATTTGCTGCCACCTCTTGATAGGCACCACTGTAAGCAGATAACCAATGTCATTAACTTCACTAGCCAGTGGTTTTATTGTTGTGGCTGATCAGTGTAAGTGGATTATGTGCTCTCTGACTGAAAGCTACAATATGCTATACAGTACAATCCCAGAAGATGTCCCTGAACTCGGCATTAAGTCCAAGTGAAACACGCTAATGATTTATAATGTCGTAGTACCAGTCAATCACGTGCTGTGCTGACGCAGTTTCACCAGGAACTGTTTTTGGTTTAGATGGACTCATTTCTCTACAGCATGACTGATGAGAATCCCCAGCAGACTTGTCCACAGCTTATTGATGGTGTAATGGTGTCAGCCTTCAAATGACAAGATACCATGTACAGTACTTGCAGTCTCCAGATGATCTTCTAAGAAAATAGCATTGAAGTTTAGTGGATGGGGCTTTGCTTTCACCAATTCCTTGAGGAAAACCTGTGAATATACAGATTTAAAACTGAAAGGGAGTGTTTGAGAAACTTAGACAAAATCCTTATCATAGGATTGTATTCATGTGAAGTGAAAATGCCACATCTCGGTGTTAGACTGGTACAGAGAGAGAGTTTTATTCAGATGCTTGTTTATATTTTAGACAAACAGAAAAGCTTTATATGCTTGGCTCTTGCAGTGTAACCAGATGTTTTTTTCAGTGTTGAATATTATCAGTTGCTTTTCACCTTTTATAGAATGAATTAAGGCCTTGAGATAAAAACAAAATAAGATTTCAGTGCTACTCCGAAGCTGTGATTGAGTAAACAGAGCAGCTGAGAGATGGTGCAGAGGTGCAAAGGGAGAAACCATACTCAGTGTGGCTGGGTAGCTTGACTTTTCAGTTTCTTTTAAAGGAAATGTTGAGAGGAGATGCAGAGGGACAGTGCAGTAGCTCTGGTTTGACTGTTGGCTGTCAGGTGGTGTAATGTGGGAGCAGCTTTCCAGGACAGAAAATGGCAGATTTGGTTTGTACTGTATGTGTGAATATTAGCTCCCTCTGTAGCCAGGGGGTGGTGTTCTCTGAAACGGGTTAACATTTCTATTCTGGCATTTTCTCTGCCTTTATTCATTTCTGTGAAGTGGTGCACTTGAAATGTCAGGTGTTTGGATCTTGTTGATAGACGGGCCTTATTGGTTGCTATGCAAACTTTTCAGGTATCCAGAGAGCTAGTAAGTGAACACTTCTGTTTTTTTTGGCATTTTGTAATTGCTGCACTGTCATTCACTGTTGAATGGTTACAGAAGATGCTCTTCTTGGTATGTCATAACACTCTTGTTGGTGTTCTCCACTGTTACTGTTATGAGGCATCCAGGTACCTTAAGACATAACAATTGCAACATCGAGGGGTCAAACACGGCAGTGGGTCACATGACTCGTGTAGCTTCATGCAGTTCCAAACATGACTCAGATTCATTGTTTTCTGTAGGGAACAGTGGGATTTGGAAAGCAACAAGTGTGGACCCTGCAAAAGCTGCCACTTTACACAAGATTTAAACTCTTTTAGGCATCCAGTCAATGAGATGATAATTAACATCAAAGATTTTATCACCTGTAAAACAAAAATGTTGTTTACATGATACAGTGCCCATGAGTAAAAGTACATATGGGGAGACAGCTCGCTCATTTAAAGAGAGTATTAGGTTACACAGGAGCACCATCAGGAGAAATTATGTTGCTAATCCTGTTGCAAGACATTTTAATGAGTTAAAACACCCTGTGTCATCACTTTCTTTCACAGGCAGAGAGGCAGTTATGCCTGGAGTGAGAGGTGGGAATACTCATTTCTTTAGGAAAGAAAGAGAGGCATCCTGGATTTTTGACTTATTTAAAAGTTTATTTCCAGGAGGTATGAATGAAGATTTTACTTTTAATCAGTTTCTATAGTGGGATCTAGTTGTTTTGTGTGTGCTCATGGGCCCTAGTTGTGCACCCTATTGTTTCACTTGGCTTGATTTTATTTTGTTTTGTGTTATCTCTCATATATGATGCCACCTGTGTCGATTGTTGGACACACCTCTTGCCCCTTTGTCACTTTTGACCCTTGAATGTGATTGGCCTATAACCACATTACTTATGTGCATGTTTTTATTGGCCGACATGTATGAGTTTGTTTGTGGTTGGCTGTTTTTAAAGGAACTTTTTCTGTAGTTGTACTATTTATGGAACTCCTGGTTATGTACCTTTAATAGACCCTGACGAAAGCTCTATGCTGAAACGTATTGCTAGACTGTTTTTCCTGTTTGTGCACCTTGACAATGGGTGAAACTGTGCCACTAACCTATGCTACATCAAGTTTTTAAAATAAAAATAAATCTGTTCTGACAGACCTCCTGTCAACAAACACAGGAAGCAATAAATGTAATATCTTAGTATTACGATGAGGCTCAAACAAATCACTCCTGTCATGGCAGCTGAAAACAAGGCTGCCTATGAACTACGGTTTATAAATTTTCTGCCTAAAGCCAGATGGCCCCTGGGGGCCCGCAGGGGTGCACAAGCTAAGATCTGGCTGCAGTGAACCAAAACCATGCTCTGTGTTTTCCCAGCTTAGCCGGCCAGGGGGCTCAAGGAACAATAACAACATGTTCTGGGATCACACATGCTGCTCTGGAGACTCCCTGGGAAACTTGACGAGGCTAACGCAGTAGAAAAACAATATTGGTTATCATATTTCTATGAGCGGGACTGTGTGAGGGATGTCTGTATTTGGTCATCCCATTGTAGGTGAGCCACACTCAGGTCATTGTGTGCCCAAAATATCACCTCCCAAAGAGTTTTCAAAATGGCTGCTACACACTGTGGTGCTGCGTGGGGACAAACAGCTCATTAGCAGTCACTTGGTTTTTCAGCTGCCCCTTGCCTTCCTGCTAACATGCTTACAACAATGATCCCTGTACTGCTGAATTATAAATGAGCCCTAACTGCTGATCATTGTTGGCTTCTAGTCTTTCAATCTTCTGTTACCTACCTGAAACATTCGTGGGCTTAAGTTTCTTTCCTAAACTCACGTTTCACCCATTAAGTGATGCTGCTAGCAGACCACACAGACACTTGGATGCCAAACATGGGTTAGCTGTCAGACATTGCTCAGAGTGGGCAGTGTGTTGAGTTTTGGTTTCTTTTAGACAGTTTACATTCTTCGTCACCGCCTCTTCTTCCCCACTTTCTTCTGTTGTCTCTGTTAGCTTTTCTTCCTCTCTATCTCACCTTCTGTCTGTCACTTGGTGTCACACATCCTCTTGCTTGAAGACACAATCTTTGCTTGGGCCTTTGTTGCTCTGTCAGCTGCAGTGACCGCTGATAACGAGAGGGGATGTCTGTGGAGGAGACAGCAGAGAGAAAGGGGGCAGACAGGAGGCTGACTGTCACTCCATATGTGCTGGAGCTGATGGTGTGATAGGGGACATCAAGTAAAGAAAGAGTCACAAATTAAGCACATTTCTGTACCTTAAGTGTGTGATTCTCTGGGGTTCAGCTGAGGTACTTAATTGGTGAGGTTGTGTTTGGGAATGCTGTTGGCGATTTGAATAAATCTCTGTGTGTTTAAGCCTAAGACAGTAACACCCTCTATTGCAAACGTGGGTGTTTGAACAAATGGAATTTGTTTCAGCCAGCAGCCTAATCTGTCTCACCATGCACTTATCATCCAACCACTAACAACCACATGATGCTCGCTCCTCCCTCTGGGTCCATTTTTGGTGCAGATAGTCAACATATCGCGCTCCAGCTGGAATGATCCCTTGAAAGTGATTCAATGGGTTAATATCAGTAGATTGTTCGGCAAAGCCGGCAAATTATTCTGTCCGTTAGTTAAACCAGCAGTTATCGATCATCATGAGTTTGAATGATTCAGAGTTGGCAGGTAGATCAGAATGTTAATATCCTGGATTATTTCGACAGTGCTGTTGATATCACACCCTAACAGCATGTGACAAGTCAAGAGGTGACTCTGTTTTTTCCTGCACTGTCTGTTAAAGTTTGTGGTAGTTTATTTCCTTTGTTTAGGCCAGTTTAAGACTGACATGTTCTTTTTATATATCTGGTTCTAAAATGTCTTCTGGCATTTTGAGTCAGACATGCTCAAGTTGCAGCAGATGCACCTCAGCAGTATCGGCATGTTACTGATGCTCAATCTCTTTCTGTCACTACTTCAGTTTTGACTGAGCCTTCATCTAGAAACCAAATCTACTCCTACTCTATTCTACATTTTATGCTTTGCAGTCCAGACATTATGACACCACATATCCTCTAGTTTGTCCTGCCAGTTGTAAAATCAGTGTAAAATCAAACTGCAAATGTGTGTTAATTTTGCCACAATATTACCCATTTAAACTGCTTCCACATCTGCCAAGTGTTGTACATCTGCACCCAAAGAGTCTGAGACAAAATTAAGGTAATAGAAAGCTGCAGTTTTACGAGAGGTTATATAATATCATTGTATCTTTATAGTGATAACACAGGCTTCTGAGGATCACTGGCAGCAATGTATCCAATAATCCAATCCTCTAAGAGCTGAGGCATTTGTTAAACATTTACTAGGCCTTGTGTGTTGCCAAAATCTGCTCTACAGAGTCTGAAATGAGATAAAATTAGAAACATTACTAACCAGCTCATTGCCTCTGGACAGTGATGGCATAAAGCATATTTTTACCCTTGTTGTTGCTCTGTTGAAAGAACCTGTTGTACTTTCACTGCCTACATTGTGTCCCAATTGTCCAGCATCCATGTTTGCTGAAGGCAATGTTATTGTTGCAAATCAGTCGGCACTGTAGTAATGGTAGCTTAGTTTGAGATGGAAGAGGGTCTGTTTTTCAGAGCTCACACTGGGGTTGCTAAACGGTGTTTCTCATTTTTTATTTTTCCTCTCCCTCTTGTGATTCCAGGAAGGACGCGAGCAGTATGAGCTGGCTGCGACCTCGGAGCAGGGCGGCAAGAAGAAGGCGAAAGGGAAGAAGAAAGAAAAGGATATGGATGAACTGAAGAAGGAAGTGGATATGGTGAGTGGTTCAGCTTCACCTTTGTTTTTCACTCCGTTCTTTTGCCTCAGAACCTCCTCCTCGGATTGTCTGCTCTCTCCTGCTCCTCCCTCCTGTGTTGGTTCTGTTTCTTCTACCTCTTCTCCCCACACACAAAACCTAAAATATCCTGCAGTACTAAACTGTCTTAATTTTAGGTGTCACTGCAAGGTGTGATATCTGAAATTTGGCTTCTCCTTTTATCTTTGTCTACTTGTCCTTTTCCTTTTTCTACCCAATTATTTCTCTTGCTCTTCTTTTCTAGATTCATTGCTCACTTACCATCTTCATCCTGCTTTTGCTTTTGGTTCCCTTTTGTATCTTCTTCCTTTCACCTCACTGTCCTTTGTTATCATTTATCCTTTTTCCTACACTGTGGATGTTTCTCTGTCATTGTTGTATTTCTGCCTAGTGAGAGGTATTCCTTTTAAAATAAAATGTCAGCGCACACTGTGCCATAAATGTCACACGCGTACACAGACAAACACTGGATTGAACTGATGCTGCCTTCTTTTTTCCTTGCAGGATGATCACAAGCTGACCCTGGATGAGCTCAATCGCAAATATGGAACAGACCTCACCAATGTGAGTGGAGTGGATGTGAGAGGAAAATGTGTTGTGTGTCTGTTTTTGTATGCACTAAATCTAAAATCTCTCTCACCTGCAGCTTTAAAAGTCACACTAAGTTTGGTAGCAAGTGTTTTAGCCTACAAAGTCCGGCATCATAATGTAGTTTTGAAAAGAGTGTTTTGGTAAAAGTATCTTCATATATTACAGAGATCAAATAAATGTCACATCAGCTGCATGCTGGCTGCTGTGTGCCACCAACTTCCATTTTCTCCTCAGTCTGCCAGCTGACATTCAGCTGATGAATGATTTATGAGGATTAGATGAATTCAACAGAGGACTTTGTTTAAGGAGGGAGGAGATCTTCTCTCACATCATGAAGGAAGAGTCGCTGAGGGTGTGATCAGCCACTACAGGCTCAGCTCTCCCAGGGTTTATTAAACAAAGAATGTTGCTTGAGAGAAGAGGAGGTGGATGGAGACAAAGGGAGGAGGGACAGTGATAGATACATGGTTTTTCTTATGTCATTGTTTATTGCTAAAGTCTTCTCCAGGTATCTATGGAAATTTGGGAGTCTCCTTTCCAAGAAATGATTTGCTTGTACAGTAGTAGGCATGAATGATTTGCCTGTTTGCAATTCTTTTTTGGCATTTTGCTTTTTTATTGATACTAGACAGTCTAGAAAAAAAAAACAGAAAACAAAGGTAGAGAGAGGTCCCTCGCATGTTGGTTATGTGGTATCCACCTTAACCATTCAGCCACAAGCTACCTCATGTAACGTGTCTAAAGCATGCAGAATCCTTTAATGTCTTTAAGTCATGCTTCCAACCCCCAACCAACTCGGTCACACTCCAGCTAGCCCTCTCTCCTCATGAAAATGTGCTCCTGGTCATGCAGGAAGGATCAAGGAGAATAGTTAATCAGTCTTTCTAAACTGGAGTCTCCCAGCTCGCTGTGAGCATGCGTGCATGCATGTGCAGCAGTTGTGAATAATTTATTAGCTGCAGAAGCCCCAGTTCCCTGATATCTCATGTCTATTTCACTCATCTTTCTCCTCTCCTTTACCTTCACTTCTATCCTTTTCCTCCTCTTTTTCTGTTTGTTGCCATCTGAAGCAAAGGGCTCAGGTTTTCTGTTGATGCTGTGTTGCCAGGCAACTAGTGGCGCCTACAGTCCCCCTGGACTTAAATAAATGGCTCTGAGTTGTCTGTGTGTGGCAAAGGATATGCTTAAAATCTGGTTGCATCTATAATTAAAAATGGTTGAAATCATTTATTTTAGTTCTAATTAAAAATGGATGTCTGACTTTCAACTTGTCAGCTATCATCTTAGAATATCTGGCCTGAGAATCTGAAGTTTTATCAGAAATTGTAATCTTTTCCCCTCGTATCAGGGTTTGACTAGTACGAAGGCTGCTGAGATTCTGGCCCGTGATGGGCCCAATGCCCTCACTCCTCCTCCCACCACCCCAGAGTGGGTCAAATTCTGCAAACAGGTAATATCAGCTTTGTTTTAAATAGCACACTTGGGCTATTTAGCTTCTGTGCTAATGTAGCCTCAGTTTCCTTATTTACAAGTTTCCACAAATTAAGAAGACAAATATGCAAATTTCAGACATAAAATTAGTAACTCTCATGCTGTTCTGTCTTCGTTCAGATGTTTGGTGGTTTCTCCATGCTTCTCTGGACTGGTGCCATCCTCTGTTTCCTGGCCTATGGTATCCAGGCTGCATTGGACGAGGAACCTGCAAATGATAATGTAAGAGAAGGTTTAAGATAAATATTTATTAATGTCTTGATGTGACAGTATGGTACAAGGCTTAATCATAGCTCAGTGTAAAACTTCATAAATAACAAAACATCCTTGGTACTTATGGTTCAGGATGAGGAGGCTCAGTAGAAATTGTAGTAACAACACTGTTATCTAAACTAGACCTCAACCACTAATACCTTGTGGAAATCTAATTTGCTGTTCACAGTTGTACCTGGGTGTTGTACTGTCTGCTGTCGTCATCATCACTGGTTGCTTCTCCTACTACCAAGAGGCCAAGAGCTCCAAGATCATGGACTCTTTCAAGAACCTGGTTCCACAGGTGCCCCTTATTTATATATGTACCTTCCTTTTGTTGTAATTTCTGTTTTGCCAATAATGAGAAATATACTAATAACACTAGAAATTACTATATAATGCTTAACTGAAGCCATATCGTTACCATGTCAACTCTTAATTATAGTATGTTAATTCAAGGTCTCACCCACGCTGGCATACAAAAAACAAGAGAGTCCTCTTGACATCAGAATTCATTATCTCTTCTGAATAATATGGAGGCTAATAATGAAAATCATTTTCATTGTGGAGGTGGAGGCAAATGAAGCAAACGGCAAAGAAGGCCACCAGTCACACTTTCCTTTTTCTGTCTGTCTCCATCATGTCTTGTCTCATAGCAAGCCCTGGTTATTCGTGACGGTGAGAAGAAGAGCATCAATGCTGAGGATGTGGTGGTTGGAGATTTAGTGGAGGTGAAAGGTGGAGACAGGATCCCTGCTGATCTGAGGATCATCTCTGCCCATGGCTGCAAGGTGGGTGCTCTCGTGACAAGCTGTTTTCTTCTACATAGGACCCATATTCAACCTAAAACCATTTCAGGGTTACAGAATTCATTCAGTGTGCTGCAGCGCTTTAGTTGGCACTTTATTATCATCTCAAGCACTTTTTTGTTTATGTTTCTAACATTTAATTATCTGAGATTACTGTGTGACTGAAGTAGAGCCACAAAATTGCCCTTTTAAACGTCTGCTTTGAAAACTATTTCAGTGCATGGACTCATGTGACTAGCAGTGGTCTTACTATGGGAACAAAAAGCTGTGTGATCAATTTCCGGCTAAACTCGAAGCCCAAGAGCAACACTTGACCCAGTTGTACCTTAATGGTTTTCCAGCAACCTCTGTGTCATTCACTGTTGCATCTTGCTACCTGCCTCTGCATCTTTCAGGGTTACTTTTGACCTGACTTTGCCAACTGCTCCTCAATATCTGCTTTAATCACAAAGCAAAGGTTAAGAGTATAGGAGAAAGTTTCTTTACCCCACCTGAGAGAAACTTTGTGGCAGCTCTCTTCTCAGTTTTTATATTTTCTTTCCTGAGGCTACTGTAGCCACATTGATTTTCTTTTTTTCCATTAGTTACAGTTGATGTCTCATTTCTCAGGTGGACAACTCCTCTCTGACTGGTGAATCTGAGCCACAGACTCGGGCTCCTGACTTCTCCAATGAGAACCCACTGGAGACCCGGAACATTGCTTTCTTCTCTACCAACTGTGTTGAAGGTATGACTGGATACATCAAAGCCTCTCAGAGATGGGGCTTCATTTTATCTGCACTTCAGAGACTGTGTAGTGAATATTTTGTTTAAAAACAAAAACACCCTTGCTGCAGGAACTGCCCGTGGTATTGTGATCAGCACTGGAGATCGCACAGTTATGGGTCGTATCGCCACGCTAGCCTCAGGGCTTGAGGTTGGACGCACCCCCATCTCCATTGAGATTGAGCACTTCATTCACATCATCACGGGCGTGGCTGTCTTCCTTGGTGTGTCCTTCTTTGTCCTCTCCCTCATCCTTGGATACTCTTGGCTGGAGGCTGTCATCTTCCTCATTGGGATCATTGTTGCCAATGTGCCAGAAGGTCTCCTGGCTACTGTCACTGTGGGTTCCAGTGTTTCTTATGAATTAAAGGTGGAGTTATGGACCCAAAATGATGACTCTGCTCTTAACTAACTCAAGCAATCCCACCTCTAGGTGTGTCTGACTCTGACTGCTAAGCGTATGGCCAAGAAGAACTGCCTGGTGAAGAACCTGGAAGCTGTGGAAACTCTGGGCTCCACCTCCACCATCTGCTCGGACAAGACTGGCACCCTGACCCAGAACAGGATGACTGTGGCCCACATGTGGTTTGACAACCAGATCCACGAGGCTGACACCACAGAGAACCAGAGCGGGACCTCCTTCGACAGGAGCTCAGCCACCTGGACTGCCCTGGCCAGAGTTGCTGGACTTTGCAACCGTGCCGTCTTCCTGGCTGAGCAGAGCAACTTTCCCATCCTGAAGGTAGGCTTGTACTTTTTACCCTCCTTTTCCCTGCTGTTATTTCACTTCTGTTACTTAAATGAATAATATGAAATGCTAAGCCACCTCAAATTCATTGTGTAATGTTATTAGGGAAATTAGTAGCTCTTAGAATGACAAACTAAAGTCTTACCTTTTATCCTTTGTTCAACGGCATGGAAGTTTTTTGTGATTTTCTTTAGTTTGTGTGCTCATTACAGGGGTAGGATTTAGAAGTCCTGTACTGCTGACTCATGGGCCCTTTTCAAACTGTTTGAAAATTAGTAAAACCAAACAAGCAAGAGCCCCTGACTGTGAAGGCCATAGCATATAATTCACACCATTTTCATACTCGCCAAACCAGTCAGTGACCCCTCATGCCCTTTGGATCGGGGAACTGTCATCCTGGAAAAGACTACTCAGTAGTTCAGGGTTTTCCTTTAATTTTTTCACCTGTCTGTACAAAAATTTACAGGAATAGGAAACTACATGCAACTACAGCCAGCTTCATGATATGTCAGCAATAAATTCCCTTGTTAAAATTGAGAAAATAAAAATAGGTGGATATTCAAATGATCTTTTTTCTCTCTGGTAGAGTGTATTTCGGTATAATTATGTTAATAATGAAACACTTTATATCTGTGATAAAGTCAGACATTCCAGTTCTGTAATTTTAGTTTAACTTCCCCCAAACACAGTTTGTCTCTCAGCTCTTCTATGGAGTCGGGTCTCTGGTTTTCATTCTGTGTCAAACTTGCTGACGTGTGTATCTGAGTGTTTGCGTGCTAATCACCTGTAAATGTCTGGCTGGCATCATGGCTGTAATTACCAGTCATTCTCTTAATAATCATTATTTTCCCTCAGTGTTAGAAGAGTGAAAGGAGGGTAAACATATTGCTGCTGGTATCAAGGCCAGTTCATTTTCCCTTCATGGCCTGCTTCCCAAACTCATCTATACACACTACATAAAAGTGTGTACTATGTGGACTGAGACAGAGAGTTTGTGTTAAAGTGTGGTCTACCAAGTAATTATTCATCCTATCCTACTGAGGATGTTGGTTACTCAGACCAACAGACTGCATGAAACAACCAATATTTGACTAAACAAAATGAAAATGTAGCTTTGGTGCCTGTGATTACTGCTCTCTGCTCTCCATTTTCCTGCACCAGAGAGATGTTGCAGGTGACGCCTCTGAGTCTGCTCTGCTGAAATGTATCGAGCTGTGCTGTGGATCAGTCCAGGAAATGAGAGAGAAGAACCCCAAAATTGCTGAGATTCCATTCAACTCCACCAACAAGTACCAGGTGTGAAGTCCGTCATATTTTAATCATTAGGTCATGGAAACAACTTGGGTATTTGTTGTTTTTAGGTGCCACTATAGAGAAATTAATTTCTGAAAATTCTGGAAATGTCATGTCAGGATATTTCCACCTCATATTAATAGTTGATCCATAATGTAAAGGGAAACCTTTGGAAGAAATCTTTGTGACTTTTAGGAGCATTTTGTGCTTTAGTTAATTAATAAGTAGACACAGTAAATTATTTCCTGATAAGCCTTTTAAATCAACTTCTCATGAAGTTTCTTTTTCTTTTGTCATGTTTACAATCTTGAATTTTTAATAGTTCCTTCATTTTCTTTCCTTTTTGATCCATGTTGTGGTTGAAAATGAACACATACTATATGAAAGCATGCTGTACTTTGTCTTATGTGCCATCAGCTCTCCATTCACAAGAATTCTGCACCTGAAGGGGAGACCAAGCACCTGCTGGTGATGAAAGGAGCCCCAGAGAGGATCTTGGACCGGTGCTCCACTATCATGATGCAGGGAAAAGAGCAGCCTCTGGATGACGAGATGAAAGATGCTTTTCAGAATGCCTACCTGGAACTGGGAGGCCTGGGAGAGAGAGTACTGGGTAAGGATGGACAGCCACTGGGGATGAAATCCAGGAAGTAATAAAAAGAGCTGAGATTTGAATGACTACAGAAGAAAAAACATTTTACTACAACAGTCTCCTTGCCTTTTTCCCCATCAAGGTTTCTGCCATTTCAACCTGCCTGATGACCAGTTCCCAGAAGGCTTTGCTTTTGACACTGAAGAGGTGAACTTCCCCACTGAGAAACTTTGCTTCATTGGCCTCATGTCCATGATCGACCCTCCTCGTGCTGCTGTGCCTGATGCTGTTGGTAAATGCAGAAGTGCTGGAATCAAGGTATGAAAATACACATCGTTTTTGTAGTTGACATAAAGCCATCTTCTTCAGTTTCTGTTGTCCATAAAACATGTTGGCTCATGATTTTGTATTGTGAAAGTGTTGAGTCACTGAACTCATCGGCACAAATGTCCCTGCTCCTAGGTGATCATGGTCACAGGTGATCATCCAATCACAGCTAAGGCCATTGCTAAGGGTGTGGGTATCATCTCTGAAGGCAATGAGACCGTTGAGGACATTGCCGCACGTCTGAACATCCCAATCAATGAAGTCAACCCAAGGTACTAACTTTCCTGAAAAACCTGATAACTTGAAAGAACAGAGATAAGACAAATTGACAATAGTTTTCACGGAAACAAAAATCAGTGCTGCATACTGAGGACCCCAATGACATATTCTGGGTCTATCTGTTATTTCATTTCATGCCATTGATATGTCTCTGATTTAGCCCAGTTGCAAAGTTCTGTGTTTTCAATCATCACCACAGAATTAAATTCCAATATAATTTCCATCTTGATCTGCAGAGAACTGTGTGATAAGTCCTACATTACATGTATCTGAGTGAGTTGACTTACTGGCTCTGTATCCCCTTAAGAGATGCCAAGGCCTGTGTGGTCCATGGTGGCGACCTGAAGGACCTGACCTCAGAACAGCTTGATGACATCCTGAAGTACCACACTGAGATTGTGTTTGCCAGAACCTCCCCGCAGCAGAAACTGATCATTGTGGAGGGCTGCCAGAGACAGGTAGAAACAAAACGAAGACGACAGGGCCACTCGGCAGCATCTGTACTCCTGTTTTACAGTTTGGCAAACACAGCATGTGCACCTTTATTATGTAAATGCATGAGTGAATATTTGATATCCTCTAATGCTTATTTATGGTTATTACTTTGCTCTGATGACTAAGTTGGTAGAATAATCAACTATAACATCTGTCAAGCTGTGAGCTCACCCGGACACATGAATATTCATGAGTGCACCAGGGGCAGAGGGAACTCTTTGTAGTGTTGTGTGGACTACAGAATCATTCATTTAAATGTTTTAATTTTGGTCTTATCAAGGGTTATATGCTTCTGATAGTGTCAGATTCATCTCTTGGATTTTATACTTAAAAAAGAAAAAAACCTGATTGTTTATATAGATGCTGCTGAAATAACCTGATTTAATACACTGTAATTGTGGCTGTCTATCAGTGGAGTCCCAGTAGCTGTGTTGTCACTGGTGAGCAAAGTGCAGGTGAAAGTCAGTCAGAAAGTTGCAGAACCAGTAAACATAATGCATTCCACATGCTTCCTAGAGGAGGAGTGGGAGGGGGATTATTGATGGCTTGGTGCTGACATTTCATCTAATGAGCCCAGTAACAATCTAGTGTCTTAGTGACTCACATACTCTTGGTTGAACTATTTGCAGGGTAGCATTAGTCGACTGCTGAGGTTAAATTAATTTCCTTGTTCACTCAAATTTGCTGCAACAGGTAGAATGAATTATGGTTTGTACTGGAGCACATAGCAGCAATAAGTATTTATAGCGACTTCTGAGAACTGACTGCCTCATTCTTCACAACAGCTTTGATTGAGTGGGCAGCCCAGATATTATACAAAAATTATTTTTCTATTTCTGGAAATCCCTCCGATTTTTATCTGTAGCCAGTGTACAACAGTTTTGCCCAGAATACTAGCAGTATTACTAAGCTGTCTCTTACTCACATTCTTATCAGACCCGTCTGTACTGTCAAATAAAGCAGATCTGCCCAGATATCTTTTGGAAAACTGAGGCTTTTCTTTCACACAACAGGAAATTATTCTGTGTGATGCAATAAAATAGAAAATGGAAATGTCACTCAAAAGCAAGAATGGTGACCTTTCTTCTCAAATGTGTTTTTATTTATTTTTTAATAGTTTTCATCTCAGCTGAAGACAGAAAACTTATTTTTTATCAGATTAAGGGAAGACAGCACTCATACATCTTGATTCATTCATTTTTCTCTCTCTGAGTCTAATTTCCACACACAAGCATTAGTGTTTCCCTCAACACTGTCCTCTTCCCTATCTGCAGGGTGCCATTGTGGCTGTGACAGGTGACGGTGTGAACGACTCTCCAGCTCTGAAGAAAGCTGACATTGGTGTTGCTATGGGGATCGCTGGGTCTGACGTCTCCAAGCAGGCCGCTGACATGATCCTGCTGGATGACAACTTTGCCTCCATCGTTACTGGAGTAGAAGAAGGTCGTCTGATCTTTGATAACTTGAAGAAGTCCATTGCCTACACTTTGACCTCCAACATCCCTGAGATCACCCCATTCCTCCTCTTCATCATCGCCAACATCCCTCTGCCCTTGGGAACAGTCACCATCCTTTGTATTGACCTGGGAACTGACATGGTAAAGATAAACACATTTAGTAATCATGAAAAATCTGCAAACTTTTATTTTTCTGATTCTAGGTTTGCTCATCGATTAGTGCTGTTCCCTGTCTCCCAGGTCCCTGCCATCTCCCTGGCTTATGAAGCAGCAGAGAGTGACATCATGAAGAGACAGCCCAGAAACCCCAAGACAGACAAGCTGGTGAATGAGAGGCTCATCAGTATAGCCTATGGACAAATCGGTAAACCTTAGTCTTGAGTTAGATAATACATTTAGATTTGCCTTACTGTAATCAAACTAGAATCAGGAGTCTGCTGTCCATGGTTCCTTCGTGGGGTTTTCTGGAAAGTATCTGGGTGGCCCAAGATAACTAGAAGAGCTGCGTGTGCTAGAAATAGGCTTATACTGATAGAGAACTGGAATGTATGTGTGCCTGTGTTGTGAGTGATGACAGAGCCTTGCCACTGGCTTTGATTTTTCCCTCTTCGGTGATGGAGCCAAGAATAGGTTGTTAATCTCCTGAACTTCGTGAACTTCCTTATAAGAGCAAAATACAGGCAAACAGGTTTTTGGAACTAGTTTTACATTTATTGAAGTCGAAATGACAATATTTTTAAGTCATATCTGTTGAACCTCTCACTTTGAACTCTTAAGTGTTCTAATGAGAGCATGTCCCAGGCCATAAAAACATGTTTTTGACCAGCCTGAATGTTTGGATTCTGAAACTATCTCTACTAATTCTCCTATTGTGTGTCAAAATTTAAAGTAATTAATTGTATTTTTATGATGTATTAGTCTAATTATTTCAAAATGTACTAAAAGACAGCTAAATCATTTTTATTGTCTTCTGATTTTTCTGAAGAGAAACCCTAATCTCATTTATATCTTGACTCATTTATCCATCTAACGACAATTGGTTTGGTCCTGAAAATCCCCCCAGACTGGCTAATCAAATATACTGAATCATGCATTTTCTCATTCATCAAATTTTTTTTAAAAGACCACAAGGCCTATTTGGTTAATTATTCATTTATTGATCCCTAGCTTAATGTCAAACTCTAAATTAACTGCATTTATTCATTCAGTCTGAAACGACTAAAGCACATTTTATCATTAATCAAAAAATAATTTTTTCTACTGCCATTTGTTGATTTGTTCACAGCATAACTCACAAAGTTATGAATGGATTTTGGTAAAAAAAATTTTGGACAGGTTGGGTGTGGCCCAGGGAACAAGCCATTATGTTTGGTTGTGGATCTGGACCATCATCACAGTCCACACTTTTTTAAAATGGCATTATGGGGAGACTTTGCTGCCTTGGTTGAGGTTTGTGCTCTCCATTGTTGGGGAAGCTACTTTGAAAGCTTTGCAAGCTACTTCACATTGGAAGAAAATGGACTACAGCAGAGCTAGTTGAGGGAGACATTTAATTTGGTTAACTACAGCTACTTGGGAAAAGTAACTCATGGTACTTTGAAAATGATCTATAATACAGAAGAGTCATATCAGAAAACAATGCCTCAACTGAGTTTACTGCAAAAACCCTACTATTCATATGAAAGTGCAAGGGATGTCAACTTTGGCTCAACAGTCAGACACCTACTTTCTAGAAACTGGAGTCCAGGTGGGGGTACTCCACCAAGCAAAACACCATGCAAAACAATTCCTCTGAACATTAATCACTTCTCAAGACTAACTGATGTTGAATATTTTCAAGTGTAGTTTTACACATTCAGATTCGGAACATAAATTATAGCCAACTATTTTTCACAGGAGAGCTGACAGTCGAGGTTCTCCTGAGACCTAAACCGGTCCTAAACTAAACAATGCCATCTGGGCTTTTCACAAGGATAAAATTGCAAGGCAAAAGTAATTTAGCTACTCAAATCACTGTGCAGATCTGAATGTAGTTCAACTACCAACAAGCTACTGCAACATGTAATTAAACTACTAGTTCACTACTCCCCAACACTGGTGCTTTCTGAGTCATGTAGTGTTTGATTCTGTGACTCACTCAAATGTAGTTTGGTGATGGATACATGTTTTCGCTTAGTGTCGTCATCCAATCACATGTCTTTCCTGCAGGTATGATCCAGGCGCTGGCAGGTTTCTTCACCTACTTTGTCATTCTGGCTGAAAACGGCTTCCTTCCCTCCACCCTGCTGGGCATTCGAGTGTCCTGGGATAGTAAACACGTCAATGACCTAGAAGACAGCTATGGACAGCAGTGGGTCAGTAACATTTAATGGACAGACCATGAGAGAAGATTATAATGTGGCCATCACCACCTGGTATAAGTTTTCTGATGTGTGTTTTTTGTCAGACTTATGAGCAGAGGAAGATTGTGGAGTTCACCTGCCACACAGCCTTCTTCGCCAGCATCGTCATTGTGCAGTGGGCTGATCTGATCATCTGTAAGACCAGGAGGAACTCTGTCTTCCAACAGGGCATGAAGTGAGTATAAGACACCCACTGTTAAAGCACAGTCAATCTCCTCTACCAGCTCTTGAGTTGTTTGAATCTGAGCTGTGGATGTTCCAACCCTCTCCTCTTTGACGTCTATCTTGAATTTGTTTCTTATGTGGGTCTCAAGATTTTCTTTCCCAAGGTTCTAATTGTACCCCTGTGTGTTTCAGGAACAAGATCCTGATCTTTGGGTTGTTTGAGGAGACTGCCCTGGCTGCCTTCCTCTCCTACTGCCCAGGCATGGATGTTGCCCTCAGGATGTACCCTCTCAAGTGAGTAAAGCACAGAAACTCCACTCACTATCCACCAGTAAGCCATGTGCATATCCAGGTGATTCTGTGATTATGCTTACTCCACCCACCACATGTTGCTCGTCCAGGCCTGGGGCTCTGGATCAGTTTCTCATCTCTTTTCTGTGTGTGTTTTCTAGGCCCAACTGGTGGTTCTGCGCCTTCCCATACTCCCTACTTATCTTTATCTATGATGAAATCCGTAAGCTGATCCTCAGACGCAGCCCAGGAGGTGAGCCCAGAATCTTCCCTACATCTCTCTCTCCCTGCAGTTGTTTTTCTGCACGCTTGTGCCTTTTCCTCTTGTTTTCCCTCTTTCCTGCCCTCTGCCATGTGAATCATTTTTAAGCTTGGTGAGGGTGGAGAAACTTTAGAAGCTCATTTCTCTCACCTGTGCTTGCTTTTAAATAAAGTATAAATTTACCCAGGAAGTTGCCTTTTAACCTCTTGTTTTCTCTCCTTGTGTGTCCAGGCTGGGTGGAACGGGAGACCTACTATTAAAGACCCATCAGTCCAGTCAGCTCGCGTTTTCTCCTCCACTCCCGTCTTTGCATGAATATTGTCTTGCTGCTCGGAATAAAATTTTAACCTCTGTGGACAAAAAATTGGAACGTGTTTTTATATTAGGGAATGCTTGATACTACTATTAGACAAATACTGAGATGATGGTATGTGCTGATGATGATGATGATGATGATGTTGATAAATGATAATGCTAATAATGACATGAACACTGAACATTGACATGACTATGCGTGCCTTGTTTCTGAAACAGGACCAATTTTATACATGTTTTTAACAGTTATAAACGTTCAATAAAAATGCGCTCGAGTCAGGTCCCACACGTATCATGTGCTCCTTTTGTTGTTTGTGTGTGTGTGCTCCTTAGCTCAGGATCATAGATTCAATCACGTTATTGGCTTTTTCTTTTTAATACTCAACTGCAGAGCTTCTATTTACAAAGATTTTCAGATAACTTTTGTTTTTATATTAATATTACAGATAAAACAGCTGTCTTAAGAATGTGACCACTGACTCTCCAGCCACTTTATTGGGTACACCTGTACAACTGTATGAAATTCAATGCAGCACTTCTGCCTTAACATCTGTGTTTATGAAGCTCAAAATGTTTATGGTGAAATTGTCAATGGATAAATTTAACTATATGTTTACTATTGATGTCATTGTAGTGGTTAAAAACAAAGGTGATTTGTACTGGACTACATTATATTCAGAGGGGTGTCTATATTATTGTCCTCCCCAGCTACATAATATAAGAGGGTCAGAATATTAGGAACCCCTCTGAATTGTACAGGTGTACCTAATTAAGTGGCTGAGTGTAGATGGATTCATTGAAGCTACTGCCTTCGGTACTTTGTGTTTCTTATAGTTAATAGCACAAGGCAGTAACTGCCTTTTTAGGTCTATATGGATATGGAGATACATTAATTTTCTCCCTTTCTTTTCAGCATGTGGGATGATGATCATAATTTGAGTTAAACTGAGGAAAAATCCATTCTTAGTCCTAATTAAAGATTCCTCCAAAAATAGAGGATTATGGACCCATATCCTCATTTTCATTTTCTCTTACCATTTAAGGAATACACTAATTTCAAAGTAAAACCTGTCCACACTTAACTCTTCTACATTCAAGACATACAGGGGCAGAACTAGAAAATTTTGAGAGGGGTGGCCAGGCTGGGGCACAGACTCAGAGAGGGGTGGCACATTTGAAAAATATGTAAAATAAACCCCTAGTTCTATGAAATAAACCATACATCCAACTGTTTATTTTGGCTGCACTCCTTAGGTACAAGTACTCCACAACACCATCCCTGGACAAATTAATGAATGATATAAAATTTCACCAAATTTTGATTTAATATAATAAATTCAATTTGAAATTATCTCACCAATATCAATTATAAAGCACCAGAAAAAATGTTAGTTGTATTCAAGGCAACAATTTGTTATATATAAAAATCCCCACTCACCCCCCACTTTGGGGTGGTTTTATTCCTTCCTTGAAGCTCGGGTCCTCTACCAGATGTCCGGGAGCTTGAGGGTCCTGCGCAATATCTTAGCTGTTCTTAGGACTGCACTCTTCTGGACAGAGATCTCAGATGTTGTTCCTGGGTTCTGTTGGAGCCATTGTCCCAGTTTGGGGGTCATAACCCCCTATTACCACAGGGACCACTTGTGCCTTCATCTTCCGCATCTTTTCTAACTCTTTCAGTGGTTAACACCACTGACTTTGGTACAGAAGGTTGGGGGTTCGAACCCCGGTCAGGGCGTGGTCAATATCCAGCCTGGGCCCTTGGGCAAGATCCTTAATGCTACCTGCTATCTCATTGGTAATGAGAGTTGGTAATGTCGCCCGGGTCAAGAAGGTCCGCGTCAGGTGTTGAGGAACCAGGGCAACCTGATGAGAAATGGATTACTGGAATGAGACATTCATGGACAAGAACAGGGAACTATTGGAATGCTACTATACAAGTAACCCCAGCGAGCAGGGTTACATATGGAGGATGTGGGACCTATGGAGATACATACAGATATATATATATATATATCTGTATGTATGTATGTATAAAAAATGTAAAATGAATATGGAAATATTGTATTTAGCAAAAATATTCAGTGACATTTTAACGTCTAGGTTTAAACTCTATTTTAAGCTTTCAGGAATTTTCCCTGGCCTGCATTCACATTCATTAAGCAAAGGGCCACTGATTACCACCTGACTTTGAATATCCGATGGTTAGTAATTATTTTTGTGATTAATTCTCCTTTTAAAATAAACATCCTTGGTAGAAACACCTAATTTGTTTAAATACAGCAATTTATTTATTAATGAGCAACTGCATTCTCTACTTTTACCTAAAAATAATACTCTGAGGTGATTTTTTTTACCCTTTATATACCTGTGTCTTCTAAATACCTACATCTAAACCATGGCACCATTCTAGTGTGGAAAACCCATGAGGCTTTTTTTTTAGTATTCATAAGCAGAACAAAAGAGAGTCTTATTAACTAGTTGCTTTTGCTGTCAGCTGATATTTTAGCTGTAGATACAGTACATTGTGTGCGTACAGTAATACAGTGCTAAAATGAAGTGCAGTTTGGATGACAACAGTGTGATGTTTTAATGAACATGCTCAGAAGGTATTTCAGAGCTAATTATCGGTGTAATTTCTACAAGAAACATCGTTTTTTTTTTGCACTAATACAGATGGAAAGTACACTGACTTGACAGTTGACAGAGGGCTAAGTGAAATTTGGTTTGTACTGTGTTCATGTTATTGTATGTTGTTTTGATTTTTGATCAGAAAATCCAAATGTGTCCACAGTCTGACAGCTCACGTGAACATAAAGCTCATAATTTCCTTTTACTTAATTTTACATTAAACTACACATAAACTTCACACTTCAGCAAGTTACATTTTTAAAACCAAAAGAAGTAGAATATGATAGCATTGAGGCAATGAATTATTGATAGATAGATGGATGGATGGATGGATGAACAGAAGCAGTGCTATCTTATTTAAGGCCATGGCGTGTTCTAGTTTACTGCATCAAGAGAGAGTGGGAACCTAATCAAATATCCAATATGCTTCAAGCTGGAAGTTTCAAACAGCTTCTGTATGTAGCCTCTGTCCTCCCACTCACTTCTTGATTAGTTTTGACATACCATACGCAGAAACAGCTTCAAGAAGAGGAGAGGAAAAGAGAGAGAGGACAACTCAGCGTCTTCTTACCTTTAAAATGCAAACTTTAAGACAAAAGAGAGAGAAGGCAAATCAATAAACAGTACATCTGGAGCTGTGAGATGTTAATATCTGCCGGAAATAAAATGTCTTTTATGCAGAGCATAACAATCACAAGCCACTCAAAGGTGATTTGCAAACATTGTTGCCAACTCCTCAGTAAGGAAAGTAGCTATTGGCTGTCCTAAAAGTCGCTAGAAGTCGCTACATGACGTCATCGCCCAATTTGCATAATAGTTAATTTGCATGTAACTGTAATGGACGCTGTAGGAGAGAGGAATAACCTCATGGGAGAGACAAAAAGGAGTAAAAAACACCCTAAATACGTTTAGAACTACAAATGAACTTCCTTCTGTTGATTCTTGGTTTGTTTGTTTTTTATTTTGCCATTGAAATAGGCCTTCACTTCTCAAAATAACTTCATGACTTTAATGATTTGTTTAGACCCACATTACATAAATCAGTTTTGTCCTGTATTGTTAAATGTCAGAATATCACATTTAATCAAAAGACTGTTGTGTGGAGTGTAATTGCTAGCTCTACATCACATGTGTCAAACTCAAGGCCCGCGGGCCACATCCGGCCCGCAAGATCATTTTATATATCTTTTTTAATGGTCCGGCGATATGAAACGCCAATAACACACAAACTACAAATCCCATAATGCAGCGCAACAGCTGCCTTACAGAACGATAGGCTACCTGCGATCATTCCCGCGTCAATTACGTCAGATCAATCAAGCGTCTGTTGATGTATACAACCCTAATTCCAAGTGGCACTACGAGACAAAACATCAGGACAAGCTGAAAAACGTGAATGAAGAGCAGAAGCTACAGAAGGTAGAGGAGTTGAAGAGGAATCTGACATCACAGCAGACGTTTTCACCAAAGTGAAATCACAGTGAAGCTGCTGTGGAAGAAGTTTTATTGTGGCAGAGGAGAAAATCAGCCCGGACATTTACCGAGGGAGAGTTTCTGAAGAGCTGCATGATGAAAGTGTGAGACGTCTGGTGTCCAGACAAAAAGCAGGTGTTTGTAAATGTAAGGCTTAGCAGAAATAGGGTTGGTGATTTTAAGTTCGTTTATTTATTTTGGAATAACATTGTATCCTGTCTGTTTCGATTCATATTTATTTTAAAAAAAGTTTAGTTTTAGTCTGTTCAATAAATTTTTATCCTGTTCGGCCCGCGACCTAAAGTGTGCTTTGAGTTTTAACCCCCTGTGCGACTGAGTGTGACACCCCAGCTCTACATCCATCCCTCCTCCTTCATAGCGGGGGGTGATTCATCTGCAGTGTGGATGAGGAGCGGGGTGGGCCTCGGGAGGGGGA